GCTGGCGCGCGAGGCCCGGGAGTCGCTGGGCTGGCGGACGCAGGGCCAGGGGCAGGGCCAGGGGTGATGCCCGACCGCCCCCACCAGACGTCCCTCAGGTCTGGTGGGGGAGAACCCAACATGACTGGGGATGCTCGGCCAGCCGTCGCGCCGCCGGGAGATTTTGACAGGAACGTGGGAAGGGATCTACTGCCCTTCCCCACGGAACTCCTCACCTCGCCGGGGCCACCTGCACCTGGGCTCTCGCGAGGTTGCCGACAGAGAGTCGGCCGTCGGCAGCGTCGTCACGCCGACGTTCTTCGGTGCCTGGAGGGTCTCAACACGCTGTACGGCCGTCGTGATGGGGTACTTGTGCCATCTGAGCTGAGCCGCGGGCAGCAGCGGATGCTCGAGCATGTTGAATCCTCTGTCTCTTTCCTGGGGCCTCCCCCGGATGATCTTTCGCAGGCGGCAGCCCTCCAGGCGCTGCGCCTCGGCTTCCCCTACGACGCAGGGGGGGGCCCCGTGGGCTATGAAGCCTCCCGCGTGTCCCTCCCAGCAGCTGGGTCTGTTCCGACTCCGCTCGCTCGGCTTTGGGGATCCGGCGGGGAAAGCACTGTTGCACGCTTTGTAGAGTCGCAAGTTTTGCCCATCGACGTGGCTCGCACGAAATTAAAGGACTCGGGCCCGCGTCGGCCCTATGGCGACCCTCGCCTCCACTCCCCTGCTCTATACGGCGAATTCATTCAGCGATTGGTCGAAGCGGGCGTAGTTGAGCTGACGCTCGAGCGAGCTACCGAGGTGGTGGATTGCTCCTTTGTGAAGAAGGGTGGCGGGAGGCAGCGCCTGGTCGTCGACTGTCGTCGGTCTAATCAGCATTTTGAGCCTCCCGCCCCTGTCAGTTTAGTGTCTGGCGATACCCTCGCCCAGGTGCATGACGAGGAATCTTTCGGTCAGCCCGTTTTTATCGGCCAGGTCGACATAAAAGACGCTCTCTATCACATGGAGCTCCCGGCAGGGCTCCGGCAGTTCTTCGGGCTGCGAAAAGTTCGGGCCTCGTGGGTGGGCATCTCTCATCTCCGGGGCGTCCGGGTGTCCCCGGGGACCTGGGTCACCCCTCGGATGCGTGCCCTGCCCATGGGCTGGTCTTGGGCCCTGTGGTGGTGCCAGGCTATCCACGAGCGGGCGGCCGAGGAGGGAGGATCTCCTGCTGCTGCCCGGCTCGCTGACGGCTCTCCTCCGCCTCCCCTCGCCTCCTCCCCCCATGCGCAGTACGTTGATAACTATGTCGTGTTTTCGACGAGCGAGGCGGTGGTCCGTGAGCGCTTGGCAGGAGTGTCTCGAACCCTCGAGGCCCGCGGGCTGCCTCTGCATAAAGACTCTGTTTCGTGCGGTCGGGACGTCGTGCTGGGGTGGGAGATCGACTGCCTTCGGCGCACCTTCCGCCCGACCCCCGAGCGCGTCTGGAAGGCTCGACTCGCCATTCGGGGTCTTTTGGCGCGGGCCTCGGTCTCTGGAGGGGACCTAGAGCGCCTCCTGGGCCATCTGTGTTTCATCGGCCTGTGTAGGCGAGAGTCGCTCAGCGTTTTCAAATATTGTTACAGGTTCTGTGAGGCCGCGCGGAGATGCCCAGCCCGGGGGCCTCGGGCCCTCTGGGCCTCAGCGCGGAAGGAGCTCGACACCTGGGACCGTATCGCCCCGCTCATCTGGGTCAACACTTCAGCAGGTACCTGTCCTGACGTCGTTGTGGTGGACGCATCGCCGTGGGGCCTTGGGGCCGTTCGGGGACGACCGCCGGTGGCCCTGGTCAAGGAGGCCTGCCGACACTCGGAGCGAGCTGGGGCTCGGGAGGCGGCCCGTGAGGGGCTGCCACCCCGAGAGCGTGCTTTCGCCGCGGCCGCTGCGCAGTTGCACAGGGGTGAAGGGGAGGCCGACGGGCGGATCCTGATGGAGCACGTGCGGCCCCAGACTGGGCGAGACCGGCCCGAAAGCGAGTTCGACCGCCGACGCCGGGAGCCGTTCGAGGACGTCCCCTTGGACCTCTTGAGGGCCCCCTGGAAGGTGTGCGGGAGGCAGAAGTGGAGACGGCCCTCGGGGTCTATGCCGGCCCTGGAAGCGGAGGCGCTGTTGTACGGGGTCCGCCACCTCCTGAGGTCCGTCGCCAACTTGGGCTCGAGGCTGCTCGTGATAGGGGACTCGATCTCCGCCTCCCTGGCCGCCGCGAAGGGGCGGTCCTCCTCCGAAGGCGTGCTCTCGGTGACCCGCCGGCTGGGCGCCCTGCTGCTGGGGGCCGGCAGCCTCCTGCGGTCGCGCTGGATCGCGTCGGAGCTCAACCCTGCGGACGGGCCGTCTCGCGGGCGCCCGGCGCCGAGCGATCCGCTTGCCGGCCTGCGGCGCGAGCTCGCAGCCGCCGCCGACGAGGGCCGTGAGGCTGGCGCGCGGCAGGTCCGACAGGTCGACGACCCTCGCGGGGCGCCTGCCGTCGCTGCCCAGCTCGGGGTCGGCCTCCCCCCCGGCCTCGGCCCCCCTGGGAGCTGGGGGCCCGCGGGCGGCAGCGGCGCGGGTGCGGGCTGGGCGCGCTGCCGAGCTGGCTGCTGGGCGGGGCCATGGAGGCCCGGACGGGTGTGCTTCGGAGGGCCTCGGTATCGGCGAAGACTCAGGCCCAGTGCTCTCTCTACCTGGCCGCCCTGCGCAGTCTCCCCAACTCCCGCGGAGTCCGCCCGATCACCGGAAAGGAGAGGGACCTCTCCACCGCGGGCGGGATGGAGATCATGTTCAGGAGAGGCGGCTCGCTGAGCGCAGGCGAGAAGCTCCTGGCGTCGGTGCAGTGGGCCAGGCCCCGCCTCAGCCGGCGGGGGGACGGGCGGATGCCCATCTGCCGGCAATGCCCGGGGGGCCAGTGCCGTGCTGCCCCGGCGGGAGGCCGCCTGCCCCTGCCCCACGACGTGGTAGCGCTGCTGGCGAGCTGGATGTGCCGCCAGAGGCTGCGCCCCCACTCGCTGGCGGGCCTCAGGAGGATGGAGCCGCTCTCGCGCCCGGGGAAGCCACTCCTGCTACGGTGCCGCGCCGTGGCGGCGGGAGCCCTCAGCGGAGCCCGCGAGAGGACCCCCACATCGGTGCTGCTCCACCTGATCGGGATGCGGACCCCGCCCCAGAGCTGGGAGTTCGACCAGGCGATCGTCGTCGACCTCCATCGGCAGGCGGCGCTCGCGGACGCCCTGGTGCAGCTGGTGCTGGCGCGCAACGCGGGACCCTGGCGGGAGCTCTCGCCCTGCGCCCTGCGGCGGGCCCTGGACGAGGCCGCCGCTGCCTGGCGCCTGGGGCCCCTCGGGCGGCTCGACGCCTGCCGCTTCGGGCACACGGGGGCGAGCGTCGCCTCCGCGACCGGCGCCCGGCGGCTGGTCGAGCTCCAGCGCCGCGAGCGGTGGCGGTCGACCCTGAGCCTCCGGCGCTACTGGCACGGGGGGCGCCTGGCCGACCTCTTGCGCCGCCCGCCGCCCGACGTGCAGCGGGCGGCCGCGGCGACCGCTCAGGTGCTCCCCGACGCGCCGCGGGGGAGGCAGGCGCCATCTTCGGGCCGCTGAGGGCGCCGACTATCGCCGTGTTCCTCGAGCTGTTCGCGGGCTCGGGCCACCTGTCCGACGCCGTGGGACGGGGGAACGTCCCCACCCTGCGCTGGGACATCGTGTACGGCCCCGCCTACGACCTGCGCGACCCCAGGAACGCCCGCCTCATTCGGGGCTGGATTCGGGCGGGGCTCGTCTGCGGCCTGCATGCTGGTTTTCCCTGCGAGACTTTCTCACGGGCACGGGGCCGCCCCAACGGCCCGCCCCGCCTCAGGTCGCAGGAGCACGTCTGGGGGCTGCCCAGTCTCCCCATCGAGGGCGTCGACTTCCAGAAAGTGAAGTGGGGCAACCTGTACGCGCGGCTCACGATTTCGTTCTGCGTGCTGTGCTGCCAGTGTATCGTCCCGTGGACCCTGGAGAACCCCGCGCTGAGCTACGCGTGGCAGCTGCCGCCAATGCTTGCCCTGCTCCGACGCCAGCAGGTCTCGTCCCAGGTGATCGAGTACTGCCGTTTCGGGGCGCCCTGGAGGAAGAGCACCAAGATCGTGGCATTTCTCCTCGACCTGGCGCCCTTGGCCAAATTCAGATGTGTAGGGCCCGTCTGTGTCATCACAGGGCAGAAGCATCAGGAGCTGTCCGGAAAGGACGCTTCAGGCAGGTTCCGCACAAAGTTGGCGGAAGCATATCCTCGTAAGCTCTGCAATATCCTCGCCAGAGCATGCGCCGATGAAAAGGCCAGGTCCCGGGCTGGGCAGTTCTCCTTTCTGATTGGCCGCGCTGCTCGAGCGCTTGAGGGCCCGTGAATATTCCGGCTTTTCAGTAAATGCATTCTCGGCGTTGCCAGTTCAGCTGTGCAATTTGCAGCATTTTGCATGAGTCCGAAATTTCAGTTGATGTCCGTGGCCGCCCGCGGGTCGGAGATCCCCGGGCGGCAGCCTCTTGCGCCTGCAGCGTCTCGAAGCCTCGCCACCTGGCCCGCCTGAGCTGAGAAAAGGGAGCATAAGTCGTTCTCCGAACAGGGTTGCCCCTTGAGAAGCGTTGCGGGCCGCCCGTCTGCGATCTTCCGTTGACGTTTTCGCTCAAGCTCCCTCCCTCCCCCCCCCGCTTTCCCTTTATCTTTGCATGAGTCCGAAATTTCAGTTGATGTCCGTGGCCGCCCGCGGGTCGGAGATCCCCGGGCGGCAGCCTCTTGCGCCTGCAGCGTCTCGAAGCCTCGCCACCTGGCCCGCCTGAGCTGAAAAAGGGAGCATCCTCCTCCTCCTCCTCCTCCTCCTCCTCCTCCTCCCTCCCCCGCCACTCCCCACCGCTCCTTTTTGCCGTCGTCTTTCTCCTCCTCCCCCTCCCCCGTCCCTCCTCCTCCTCCCCTCCTCCTCCTCCTCCTCCTCCTCCTCCTCCTCCTCCTCCCCTCGACCGCTCGCCCCCCCCCCCCCCCCCCCCTGCGCAGCCCTGCGCCAGGTCGGCGCTGCCCGAGGGGGCGGCGGGGACGACCGCTCCCGCGGGCCTGGGCCGCACAGCTGCCGCCCAGGGCCCCCCCCGGGCGTCGAGGCACGGGCCTGGCGGCTTCCCGGCGGGCGAGCGAGCGGCGAGGGGTCGGTCGGGGGCCCCCAAACGGGGTGGTCACCACGCGGTTTTGGGACTTGGGTCGTTCTTCGAGGATCGGGGGTGGACAGAACCCCTAACAGTGACACGTCGATTAGTGAATTGTCCGTTTTTGGTTCTCGAGAAGGCGCCGTGGCCGTTATTTTCCAGGCTTGCGCCCGCCAGGTTTGGGCTTCAGGCCGTTTTCACTAAACCACGTTTTACTAAAGGGGGGTCTGTCCATCCCCGAGAGGATGTCTCGGGCGACTGGAGCCTCCAGGGTCCCCAAAGCCGTGTGGTGACGGACCGTGCGGTGTAGTCTCTCGGGGTTCCGAGGTCACCGCACGGTCCGTCACCACACGGTTTTGGGATCCCCAGGGTGTGTCGGGAGCGGCATCGGCGCAGACGATGTGCCTGCCTGCTATTAAATCGGGCTCGTCCCTCTACAGGGGAGGTGTTCAAAAACAGTCGAGCAACAGTCTGGGGACTGTCTTTGAAGTATTTTTGGAGCATGTTTATTTCTCTGTCGAAAATCCCCCTCTAGGGGGACACGCCCGACTTACGTCTGATGCGGTGGCCCTCTCCCTGAGGGCCGAGCGGGGTAGCGCTTCTCCCGCACGGGTACGAGGAGGGGCGCCCCGCCCCGAGCAGGTCATAGCTGCCGAGGGGGCCCCAGGCCCACCTGGCACGAGCGCGGGTGCGGTTGGAGGGAGGGAGGGGCGAAGAGGCATGGGGCCCGCGAAGCAGCCAGCACAGTCTGCATAGTTCGAGGCCTGGAACTGGGCACCAACACCAACAAAGGGGGTTGCCTCCACAAGGGGGGAGATGCTCCCAGATTTCGGCGTTGGTGGTAATACTTCGGTTACCTCGGAAGCCAGAATATTACCACCATCACCAAGATCGGGATCTTCTTCCCTCGGTGGAGGCACACCGCCGATCTTGGTGTTGGTGTCAACCTCTGGGCCTGCGACATAGACATACACTTTCGGCGGTCCGCGTGCATTCTTTCAGGCCAGCGCTGGCCCACTCGTGGCGGAGCCTTCGGCGCCTACCCCTGCGCGCTCCGCGTGCCAGGGGGGAGGGCGAGGTCCAGCGTCGACCCAAGACATCCGCTCGGCCTGCCTTGGGAGCCATCTTGGATCGTGTGCCCTCTGAGGCCGACAAGCCTCAGGAGGGAAAGAAACACACAGACACAATTAATCGGCGATTCCCCAGAACATATGGGAACATGTGGGAAGTGGGGGGGAAGAGAAAACCCCGAAAATATGGGAAATATGGGGAATCCTGTTTTTTGTGTGTGTGTGTGTATTTATTTGCGTGTCCCAGGGCCCCTTCAAAGCCCAGGATGTGGAAGTCCTCGGTAAAACCGAGTGGACTCATTATTGCTGGCCTCCCAGGGCCCTTCTCCGGGGCCCAGTGTGCCCCGCCGACTCTGCAAGACCGGGCCCCTGGGCGCGCCGCCAAACCAAGCATTCAGTCGGGCCTGTCCCCCTACAGGGGGACTTTCGACGAAACATATAACAAATACCCCCTAACATAGTCAAACAATAGTCCAAAAATAGTCTGGGGACTATTTTTTGAGTATTTTTTGACCTCTCTGGGGTATCTTTGGGGTATTTTTTTATTTTTCGTCGAAACTCCCTTGTAGGGGGACACGCCCTACATAAACCAAGCAGTCAGCACGCACTCTGACGGTCTCAGCGCGCTCTTGCCACGGCGGCGGCGTCCCCCCTTGCGCCGATCCTTGCCCTTGGCCAGTCCTGGGCCCTGCTTCGGGTATGGCCTCTAGCGAAAGATGTGGCCACATGTTTTGCCCCTGGAGGCCTCTTCGAGCTCAAATTCGTACGCTTCGGCATCGAACGGGCATCGTCGACGAGACCAGACTTGGAGCAGACGGATGCGGTGTACGGAGATGTCTGCTTGACCAGGCCAGGAGCGAGTACACCAATCCTGGGCTCAGGAATGATCGGCCAGGGGCAGCGTGAGGTGATGGTCGGCGTCCTCGCCTCCACCTCTCCTCCCTCTCCCTCGCCCCTTCCGCCCCCCCCTTCTCTCCCCCTCGCCCTCCCTCCTCCTCCTCCTCCCCCTTCGGTCCCCCTGCACCCGCCAGCCCCCCTCCCTTCCCCCCCCCCCCCCTCCCCCCCCCCCCTCTTCCCCCCCTTTCCCCCCTTCCCCCCCCCCCCCCTTCCCCCTTCCCCCCCCCTTCCCCCCCCCCCCCCTTCCCCCCCCCCCCCCCCCTTCCCTTCCCCCCTTCCCCCCCCCCTTCCCCCCCCCTTCCCCCTTCCCCCCCCTTCCCTTCCCCCCCCCCTTCCCCCCCCCTTCCCTCCCCCTTCCCCCTTCCCCCTTCCCGCCCGGCGGTGGCCCGAAGAGCGATTCGTGCCGGGGCGGGCGCGGGGCGAGACCGGGACTGGGACTTCCAAGCCTGCGCCTCCCGGCACAGCACGCGCTGGGCGGGAGGCTGGCGGACCTGGCCGGGTGCTGTCGAGCGTCGCAGGCCCAGGAGGTTGACACCAACACCAAGATCGGCGGTGTGCCTCCACCGAGGGAAGAAGATCCCGATCGCGGTGGTGGTGGTAATATTCTGGCTTCCAAGGTTACCACCAGCACCGAGATCTGGGACCATCTCCCCCCTGTGGAGACACCCCCCTGTGTTGGTGTTGGTGCCCATTTCCAGGCCTCCCAGAGCGTCGGGCCAGCTGTTGGCTTTGTACTATTACATTATCCTGCTGCGCTGTCGCGCGACTCCGCCGCCGTGCTGAGTGGGGGGGGAGGTGTTGTGGGTGGAGGGCGGGTTTTGGCCTGGGAGTGGGGCCCGCCACGCCTGCCACCGCAGGCCCCTCTCCTCTCGCGGGTGAGGAGGCCCAGAAGCTCAGATCAAGAAGCGGGAGCATGTTGGGCTCGATCCGTTGGGGGCCTGGCCTGCTGAACGATCTTTTCTGGAGGAGCAATGTGCGAACAAGCAGGGAGCTGACAAGCGCCAGCCGCGGCACAGCGATGCGGCGGATACATCAAGAGCGATAGGTGCGCACTTCTTCGTAGTGGATGAGTGCCTGCATGAGGGGGGCTTCGTCGCGCGGACAAGTGCGACGCATCAACCTTCTGACGCATTCAAGCTTGGCGCATCCTACATTGGCCCTTGGCTGCTTAATATAGAGCCTCGCGTACAGGCGTGTAATATTACTCTTTGCTTAGCACAGGCAGTCCGGTGCGCGCCACGCTGGGCGCGGGCTCGCGACTGCAAAACACCGACCGGGTGGTGGGCCTCTGCGGCGTTTTGCTGCAGCGCCCGCCTGCATCAACGAGCGCGATGACCTCGATCCCACGCTGCTCCTCGCTTCCGCCAGTGCCTCGAGGATCTGGGATTTTGAGACGAGGTGATCGAGGAAGATGATGGCTCCACTGCCCGTCTGTAATTTGCCGAGGCGCTGGCGAAGTGGGTATAGAAATAATTTGTTTGTTGCATGACATAGCGGAGCGACGAGGCCAGGAGTGTCACGGGCGCACGGGCTTTCTGTCATCTCGGACGGGCAAGCCAGGGCAGACGCAGTGCACGGTCGCAAGTAATCCCACTGCGTCATACGCCGCAGGTTGGGTCTACTGTGCAGCAGGCGAGCGCAGGAGTTTTGATGTCTGGCTTCTTAGTTAGATGTCGTCGTGACGACATAGAGATGGGATATCTGGATCTTGCCGGCCTTCTGGCGAGACCACGGGGCACTGCCCTCCTCTCGCTCCTCCATTACTGTTTGAAGCTGGTCGTGGCGCCTTGGTCGACTGGCCACCCCGAGGGCCTGGGGGCCCAGGAGCAGCAGGCCCATTCCCCAGAAAATATGGGGAAATATGGGAAGTGAGAGGGAAGGGAAAAACCCAGCAAATATGGGAAAATATTGGGAATCCTGTTATTTGTGTGTATTTATTTGTGAGTCTCAGGGCCCCTTCAGCCTACACCGTCCTGTTTGTATGGCTGGTGTGAAGGCGAGGGCCTGTCTGGCTGCTCCCTGGGCACCCTGGTCCCTCCCCTGCGTTCCGTCGTGACCATTGGGGGGGATGCCCCTTCGCTCGGCGGAGAACGAGAGGGGAACGAGAGGGGGACGTGAGAGGGAGGAGGCCTTATCAGAGGGCGGCGGGGCTTCTCAGAAGCCCTCCCGTCCTCCGAGAAGCTCCTGCGTCTTCGCAGACGGTCTGGAACACCTCTCAGAAGGCGGGAGGACTCTCGAGCTTTTCGCGCAGGCCCGCCCCCTCCCGCTTCCCCCACGGGCGCGCCGCCGAAGCACGGGGGTCGGCCTCGCCGCGCCAGCGCACCGAGCTGGTGGTGTGGCGCGCCCCTGGGGGCACGGCGGTGGCCCGCGACGGGCCCGGGCGTCCGACGACGTTTCGCTCGTGCCGCCCGCGGCCCAAGAGGTCCCGACCCTCACCACCTACCAAACCACCCCAACCCAACCCGAAGGCCTCAATCTGCCCTCCGGTTCCAGTGGGGGGGGGGTCGGGGAACATTGAGAAAACCCACATGGAATCCATACCCCCCACCCAAAATTCGGGTCTTCGGGTTGGGTTGGGGTGGTCTGGTAGGTAGTCAGACCCCTTGCGCGGCGGCAGGTCCTCGCTCCACTCCGGAACCGCGGTTGGCGGCCCCAGGGCGCGACAGCGGCGCCGCGGAGGCCGAGTGTGCGGGGGGGGGTCAGTTTGGAGTCGCCGGCAGGGCAACCCCCTGGTGCTTACAGTCGGGGCCCTGAAGAAGGAACCCTTCTGGTTGGGGAGGGGCTCCGCGTTCCTCAAGTGTTTCACAGCTTGCCTCAGGTTTTCCTTATGTTTTCGCTCGGAAATCGAAGTTTAACTTATGGAAAAAAGGGGCCTCGTTCCTTATTTAAGGTTCCTTAGGTCAACGCCCCGACTTTGCGACGAAACGCGGAGGCAGGGCGGCCAGCCAGCCTTGGCGGTGGCGCTGAGCCCAGCCGCGGTGCCGCCTAGAGAGGCGCTCTATAGTGTGCGCTCTGCGGGCGGCGCGGTCACTCGCAGCGAGGCCGTGCGCCCCAGCGACATGCCTCGAGCCTGCCGATCCTGC